GGTTGCCGCCACCCACCCGCCCCGTCTGCGTCTTCTCTGAGACACAAACGCCGCGTCTCCTGCCGGCAGCGCCACGGCCCCGCCCGGCTGCCGCGAGGCGCAGCAGACGTTGGAAGAATAAACAGGTGAGCGAGGGGGCTAAGTCCCCAGGCCCGAAGCGGAGAAGTCGGGAGCCCAGTGCCACGTGCTGAGGTCGCGCTAGGCTGCCTGCCCCCCGAGATGCCCCCAGACATCAAACCAGCCAGACGCTGCCTCGCTGGGGACCCCCTGAACCTCGCCGCCGCCCGCGTCACCGGCGAGATCGCGCCTTCGGGTTTAATACCTCATCTCCAAGGCTCTCCTCTTCAACCTTGAGCACTTCTGAAAAGGAGAACGTAGTATGTCAGTGACTTATCAGCCACAAACAGTCCTGAAAATACTAAAATAATACATATACAATATTTCATATACAACAGACCCAAACTAAGACACGGGCAGCGCGGAGGCGACCCTGGGCGCTCGTCCACCGGAGCGCCGGCCGGTCCCCGCGTCGCGCTCACTGCCAAGCATGCCGTGCTCTCCGCCTTCCCGGCGCCTGTGCGGACTGCACTCCCGAACGCTTTGTGGTGGGTGGGAGGCACCATGTGCCTGGTCCCAGCCCATCAGACGTAAGTGAGCCGGCTGCCCATTTGAACTGCCAACAAGGGACCCTCGGGAGCTCGCATTTCCTTCGGGCTCAGCCTGAGTCCTGCGTGGCTGCGATGAGCAGAGACCCCGTGTCCCCCATCTCTGCCCAGGACTCTTCTGAGGAGGCTGCAGATACAGAACAGGCTCCGAGCTACTGAGCAAGCTGCCCAGGATCACACAGCGGGTGAGAGCCGGAAAAGGGGCTCAGGTGTGTCTGACGCTGGCGCACACGGCTTCCACCTGTTTCGACTCCCTTCCAAGCCTCTATAAAATACATAAGGAATAGGAAGGTGGGAGTACCAGCTGCTTCCTGGAAAACAGACGCTCTGTAAGGGCACCCTGGCCCTGGGTAGTCGGGAGGGCACTGGGACCCCGGGGTCCCAGTGATAGAAAGGGGACCCTCTACTGACAGCATCCCCTGCCTCATGTTTCTGCGTGTGGGACGGTCAGAACCCGTGGTCTTTACTTTGATTCTTTCCCTTGCAGACTCGTCAACGTGCAGGTGAACAGATATGCGGCGAGGTCCCACCAGGCTCCGTGCTGAAGGCACCCAAGCGGCCAGCACTCTGGCCTCTGCTTTCAGAGACCAACAGGCTGTCCAGCTCATCCCACTCCTTCTGTTCTTCACAAGAAAGCGGTCGCCGCTGCAGAGGAGAATCGGCCAGCTGTTTGCCCTGCACGTTCTCGAAGGTCACATCTCAGCTCCGCCACGGACGCTTTGGCACAACTTTTGAAACTTCCGTGTGGTCCCTCATCTGCCCGAAGCTTTGCCTGTTCTTGTGATTTGACTGGTGCAGAGAAGGAAAAAGCATCTGAAAAATACAACAGAGAGATGGGTTTCTGTAAACGTGATGCTGTGTGTTGGGACTAAAGAGAGCCTCTGTTTCAACTCTCCTGTTCAGTCCATAAAGAGAGAGATCGTAAATGCATTTCTGCCGACACTGAGGTTCATCCAGAGGCAGGAGCGGGGAAACAGACCCCGAAAGGGAGACACATTTTTACAAATCCTGTGACAAACAGAATTCCTGCAGCCTGATGGCTTTTGGAAATCAACTCCAGGCTGGGTGTAGCTGCCTTCCCAGCACACGACGTTAACTAATACGGGTGAAGCACTTGAAACGCTTCTGAACAAAGCAAAGTGTTGTCACCATCGCTATTGTACTATTATTGTCGTCACAGTGGAGGACCCCCTCAGGGGGGCTGAGTGGGCTTGCTCGGGGCCCTTGGGGCTGCTGCTTGGACCCGGGAACAGAGTCCTCCGGACCAGACGGGCTCCTCGCGGCATCTCCAGAAGCATTGCAGGGAAGGTACTGGCACAGGAGGAGGAGAGCGAGCGGAGAGAGGGAACAGGCGGCGACAGCGTCTCAAGTCCCTCTTCTGCTCGAGGCCTTCGCTGAAGCGTTGCGTTTGTTTGGAAGAGCAAATGAGGTGTAATGTGTTACCCAAAGCAGACCTCGAAGCTCTCACTATAAATAGCCCAAAGTAAGCACACTTCTTGTGGCCCAGGAAAAGAAAGGGGGCCTTTAAACGAAGAACCCCGACTACTTAGAACAGACGCTTATTATAAAAACGGGAGGGCCCAAGGCATCCCCGACCTGGCTTCTCTGTTCCCCTCCCCAGGGGACGACGCTGGGCCTGCCTGGGCCATCCCGGCTGCGGCGGTGAGGGTCCTGCACGGGGGGACAGTTGCCCACCAGCCCTGCCCTCCTTCCACGCCGCACCGCCCACCTTACCTTTGGCAGAGGAGTCAGGCTGCTTTTAACAAGCCTGCAGGACGTGGTCCCTGAGCCTAGAACGCAGGTGCTCTTTTCCCTGCGCCATCAAAACGCTTTCCCACGATGCAGTCGCTCGAGGAATGAGCTTTACGGGGATCATCTGTTTACCGTAAACCGTGTCTCTCTCTGCTAGAGTCCAGACTGCTCCGAGGCAGGCCTCTTACTCACATTTGAACACCTGGTATCCAAGAAAGCGAATGTTTGCCTTGAGAAAGCCGTGTTTTATTCACCACTAAACATCAAATTTCCTCGAAATAGCCCCACCTGGACCAAACTACGTGGAGGCGACAGAAAATTCTGAAGAGTCTGCAGCACAAAAGAACAGAACAGGAGCCTCGTGTGCACAGCTTTTCACCCCCAAAAAACACGGCGCTGATGGTTCCCACCATCAAAAGTCTGGAAGACAGCCGGGCGGCCACGGGGCACAGGAAAGGATGCTCAGTGTCGCTGATTATCAGAGATGCAAATCAAAACTCCAGCGAAGCGTCACCTCACACTGGTCAGAATGGCCATCAATAAAAAGCCCACAAATGACAGATGTGGGAGAGGGTGAGGAGAAAGGGGACCCTCCTACACTGCTGGTGGGAGTGGAGGTTGGTGCAGCCATTATGGAGAATGGTATGAGATTTTTAATGAGATTCCTTAGAAACCTGAAAACAGACTTACCATATGACCCAGCAATCCTACTCCTGGGCATATATCCAGAGAAAACTCTAATTTGGAAAGATGCATGCACCCTGGTGTTCACAGCAGCATTATTTCTAATAGCCAGCCAAAATGGAATGGAAGCAACCAAAATGTCCAGTAACAGATGACTGGATAATGAAGATGTGGTATATTTCTATCATGGAATACTACTCAGCCATGAAAAAGAATGAAATAATGCCATTTGCAGCATCACAGATGGACCTAGAGGTTACCATATTAAGTGAAGTAAATCAGACAGAGAAAGACAAATATCACGTGATATCACTGATATGTGGAATCTAAAAAAAAGATACAAATGAACGTATTTACAAAACAGAAACTGACTCACAGACAATAGAAAACAAATGTATGGTTACCAAAGGAGAAGGAGGGAAGGGATCATTTGGGAGTTTGGAAATAGCAGATACAAACTACTATATACGGAATAGATTAACAAGGTCCTACTGTGTAGCACACGGAAGTATATTCAATACCTTGTAATAACCTATAATGGGAAAGAATGTGAAAAAGAATATAAATATGTGTACACTTGAATCACTGTGCTGTACACCAGAAACTAACACAATATTATTCATCAACTGTGCTTCAGTTAAAAAGAAAACTATTCCTTTGGGTTCATATGGGTTTCTCCTCCTTCCTGGGACCTGCCCAGACCATGGTGGGATGTCCTGCTTTGTCACGCGTCCCCGTGACTGGCTGAAGAACTCAGAGCGATCATCCCAGCCCTGAGGTCTGGCTGAAACAACCCAGAAAGCCTGGCGACACAGCCAGGGCCGTGCTTCCCGGTGATACATATCCCAGTTAGAAGGAGTAAAATGTTCTCCGAGCCCTTCTCTTCTTAAGTGGCTTGGTCCCCAAGGAACGCACGATTGTATGTCTGCATCCGGGGTTGGGGGAGGCCAGGGTCCCATCATCTCATGAAGACTAAATCAGTAAGTGCTGTTACCAAGCCGGGCAAAGGCCAGTGGCCTGCATCTGTGTCCTTCACGGGGAGATGTGGGGACCCCCTAAGCTTGGGTGAAGGTGGTCCTTTCTGAGACTCAGAAGGCGGGGGTGGGGGCTCCACAGAGAGAGACCGCTCAGGGCCTCCAGAAGGCTGAGTGATGGAAACATCTGGGAAATGACGTCATGTCGCCCAGGAGGGAGGTTCACAGACCAGAGGGAACAAGGGCTTTGTTGGTGGCTACACGGAGCTGAAGGGTCAGAGCTCAGAGAGTCCGGAGAGTAAACAGTGAGACCCTCACTTAAAAAACCAAGACGTTAGGATGACCCTGTGCAGACAGGAGGAGCCACCCCAGGAAGTATTTACAGACTTAACTCTGACGTGAAGTTGCATCATCAGAGGCCCAGTTTGTTTTGAATGTTCTGCCTTTGGGATCTCTTCAGCTGATCATCCAAGAACATCTTATGAAAAACCCTGAACCTCGACTTCAGGTGAACACGACACACAGCTGAGTGTGGAAAAGGACACCTGTGCACAGTCGGAGTGAGGAACAGAGACCACCCAGTAAACCCTTAACAGGAGCGCGCGTGAGAGGAGGCGGGACACACCTCGTGCCCGTGCGCCCCGCGCTCAGCCAGGTGAGGAGGACCCCCGACTCGTGCGGCGTGTGACTGCCCCCGGCGGCGCCAGACAGACGGGTTTCCTCCTGGTGGACCTGGTGATGTGTCGGGTTCCCTGTGATGTTTTACTGTGAAGACAGGACGAGCTCTGGGGTCACACAGACCTTGGGCGTTGAGCCCCCTGGGCCTGGGGTCAACCACGGAGCCTACGAGTGGAATGGGGGTGACCTTGCAGCTCACAGATGCGGCCTACAGGCACAGGGCGATGGCGCGGGTCAGGTGTCCAGCACGGAACACACTCACGGGGGCACCAGGTCCATCCCCTTCCTCCTCTGAGGGCGGGAGGGACTCACGGAGGCGCTGACCACCCGCTGACCTCTGGGCCCACTCAGGCCACGGCCTCCCACCTGCGTGACCTCTCAGCCTCTCCCGTCCCTCCGAGCCTGGCCTTGCCCCCCATCCGTCCGCCCCTCGCAGCCGGAGCGCTTGCACGAGGGCTCAGCGCTCACCTCAGAGCCCTGGTGGGACCCCCTCCCCACACCCAAATCCTCAGCAGGGCCTTACAGGGCCTCCCGTGAACTGGTCCTGCTCCCCTCCTGTGTTCTCCTCCGGAAACACGCCGCCGTCAGCCCCTGAGGCCGCACGCAGCCACCCACCGGCCCCCAGCACACGCGGGGCGAACCCACCCCCAAAGCAAATGCCTCAGCACAGATCGCCCCCTCCGCCCAGACGGCCCCCAGGCCTCCCCCCCCCCGATGCCCGCCTTCTGCTTGGAGAGCCCCTGCCCGCCTTCGGGCTCACCTCAGACGCCACTCCCGGCGCTGCCCGCCCCCTGGATGCCCGCCTGGTACCGCGTCCACACCCCCCTCCTACCTTCCGTCCCTCCTAGACCTGCGTCTCCCCTCCATCTGCAGACCCAGCGCCGAGCCCCTGAGGGCGTGCAGGTCCTGCCACTGCTGTCCCCCCAGCCTGGAGATCGCCTTGGGTTGAAATCTTATAAAATCGGAGTGAAGTGATTGAAAGGAGGCTGTGATCGTTGACCCAGGGCTCTTAACTGACCCACAGGCCTCATTTGAACGTCACCAGCTTCCCACTGTGCAGTGTGATTTGTGATACTAAATATATACTCGGTCTTGGTCCCCATTCCCAGCTCAGCGCTCCTAAAGCCTTGGGACTTTCTGTTACGACAGCAGTAGAAAGTATCTCTTGCCAGGTTAATGAGGTGACTTTTGAAAAGCCCCTAGGTCACCTAAGAAAGGGGACTGGTGGCCAGGGGACCGACCTTGTGATCCGATTCCAGGGTGGTCACTTTCATTCCACCCCCACCCGTAACTCCCGGGAGGGGGAGGGGTTGGGCCAGGGGTTTAATCAGCCACGCCCAGGTAACGAAGCCTTCACAGAACCCCAGAAGGCCGGGGCTAGGAGAGCCTCTGTGTTGGTGACCACGTGGAGACCTGGGGGCGGCGGGGGCTCAGGGCGCGCCGGAGATGCTCGCCCTTTCCCCGTATCTTACCTGCTGCGTCTCTCCCACCTGACTGTTCCCGAGTCACGTGACAACCTTCTATGCTAACTCAGCAAACACAAGTCAGTGCTTCTCTGAGTTCTGAGAGCCGCTCTAGCAAATTAATGGGACCTGAGGAGGGGGTCCTGGCAGCCTTCAGTCTACAGCCTGTAGGGCTGAGGCACAGGGGACAACCCGGCTTTGCAAGTGGCATCTGAAGGGGGTGGGGGCAGTCCTGTCGGGCTTAACTGTCCCCAGGCAGGCAGTGTCAGAACGGAGGCAATCGCTGGGTGGTGCGGGAAACACATACACACAGCAGAGTCGGCTCAGGATCAGACCCAGAATCCCACCCAAGACCCCACGTCGCATTCAGCCGAAACGTCTCCTTAGTCCCCACCCAGCTGTGAGATAACTCCGCGGTCTTTGTCCTTCACCACGTAGATGCTTTTGAAGAGTTCTGGTTAGTAGTTATAGACTGTTCCTCAGCTGGGTCTGCCCGGTGTTTTCTCAAGGTCAGGTGGAGGATGTGCATTTTGAGCGAGAATGTGACAGTCTCGCCGTGTCCTCAGTGCGTCCTCCCGGGCGGGGCATGGTGCTCACTGACTTGTTGCTGAGATGCCACCTGCGGTCGCTGGTGTCTGCCAGGTTTCTCCACCATGCAGGTTCTGTTTTCCCCTTTTAATTAGTCAAGATCGTGTGAGGAGAGGCTTTAAGATCAGTAAGCAGTTCTGAATACATCAATGGATGTGGGAACAAAGGGCTGAATCGGAAGAAAAGGCGATGAAGAGAGTTGTCAGTGTGAACTCCGCACCCGCCGTCCAGGCACACAGCATGGAGGCTGAAACAGGGAAAGTCAGACGGTAACTGAACAAGTGAAAAGCGCCCCCCGAAAGAGGCTGAGAAGAGAGCAGCCCTGCCGTCCGTCCATGCGCCCAGCCATGCCTGTCCCCCGCCCGTACCTCGCGCCCCATCCTTCCACTTCACGAGAGATCACAGTGCGTTCCAAGACTGACAGGTGCATCCAGTTTCCACCTCGTGCTGCAGCTCGGTCCCTGTGGCAGGTGCGACTCCGCTCTGTGAACAAACTAGATTCCATTCCGAGAGGCGAGCGAGCACATTCGGGTCTCCTGGGGGAGGGTGAAGAGACGGAAGATGCCCACATCCAAGAGGGCAGCACTGGGGAACGAGCGGAGTCCTTTTCCCTGTCAGCTGGGGACAGCCCCCGCAGACTGGGTGACCTCGGCAGTGTCAGTCACTCCTCACACTCCCAGGGGCTGGAAGTCCAGGACCAGGTGCTGGCAGGTCTGGCTCCTGGCGAGGGCGCCCTTCCGGGCTTGCAGACAGCCGCCTTCTAACGTGTCCTCCCACGGCAGAGACAGAGAGCCCTGTCGCCTCTTCTTACAAGGACACTAATCCTACTGGATCATGTCCCCACCCTTATGACCTCATCTGACCCTGATTACTTCTGTGATAAGCCCACCCCCAAATACAGTCACATGGGGGGTGCGCAGGGCTTCAACATGCGAACTGGGGCCCTCAGTCCACGGGGCCCCAGGCTGCGCAGGGCAGCGCGTGTGCCGCAGGGCTCTAGGTGGGACGACCTTACCGCCCCGGCTCCTGCCAGCCTCTCGCCCCGTGCAGCAGGCGTCAGCACCCCAGACCTAGACAGAGGCTCAGGGAATTCCCCATGTGGCATTGGCCTCTCGCCGCCTTCCAGATGGCAGGGAAGGCGAAGGCTCCCCCTAGGAAGGAGCCACAGAGGGGAGGCGTCTCTGGAACAGCCCTGGGTGGAGTGCCCTCCGAGCTCTCCGCTGCTCAGGCCAGCCTGGATGAGCTTGCGAGACGCTCCCAGCGGCTTGGACACACGTCCCTCGGGTTGGGGAAGAGTGTGGAACTGGCTTCTGACTCACATCTGGAAGAAAGTCTGAAGGAAGGAAGCCGTCCCTGGCTTGGGGTCGGGGAGGGCTGTGTTGGCAGATGGAAGAGAAAACTGAGTTGGGGTGAATCGTACCAAAGGCGGGAAGGAAAGACAGGTTTCCCCAGGTCCGAACACAGACCCTAAGGGAGAACCCCGGCTTGATGCCTCATTTCCATGGCTTGGAAGCCCCTCTATCCAAGGGGGCCCCTGGAGTGGGGGCGGTGCAGGGTGGGCGACGTCAGCAGAAGAGGACCGAGGTGAACGCCAGCCGTGGGCTGGGAGGACGGCGACACCCACACCAGAAAACCGCAGGTGGCTGTCCCCAGTGGGAGGGGCTCCAAGGAACCCAGGGGGGCCCCTTGGGAGGAAGGGGGGGCCCCTTGGGAGGAAGAGGAGCCCTGGGGTCTCAGCACAGAGGGCGCTTGCGCCCAGTCGCATCTGTACCGTCAAGCAGGGAGACCTTCTCCACCACCGCCTCGCTCCCCGAAGGGGCCAACACGACCTGTAGAGTGAGGAAGACACGGAGGCCACCAGGGAGACGCAGGAGAGACGCAGGTCTCTGCAGGGCTCCCGGCCCCGCCAGGCCGGGCAGTGAGCAGACGCAAGCTTGGATTTTGACCGAAGACAGCACTGAACTCCTGAGTATCTGAAAATGACCTGAACATTCTATGGGATCTGCAGGGAGGAAGACAGAGAAAGAACTGAACACAAAGTGGAGGAGACACGTCCCGTTCTGTCTGCAGTCCACCTCGCAAAGTCATTCAGAAACGAAACAGGACAGTTACATACAGGTGTGCTCACCTGGACAGCCACGCAGGCCCACGCGTGGCTCGATGCCCTGCTGTCATCACCTTGAAATTCTTAATAACTTTCAGCACGTTTTCATCTTCCACTGGGCCCTGCAACTCATGTGGACAGTCTTGGTCACACACACACACACACAGCAGGGGCTTAGCCATGTTCTGTGTGATGCCAAGGGGTACGGCAGGCCCGGTCAGTGGGAGGTAGTAAGAAACAGCGTTTGGCTCCATTATTAGGAAAAGGTTTTAAATCTCGTGGCTGTCCACACTGGCGTCGGCCGTGTGCACAGGCAGAACTTCCGATCAGCAGGCTCCTCCCAGCAGAGGAGGGTCAGCGGCTTGGCGGGGATATCAGACACACGACGCAAGCTTTGGACACTGTGGCCCCCGAACCCCCTCCAAGCCCAGGGCTATCTGACGCTCTGATTAGCGACTCTCCTTCGAGATGTCTGCTTTACCAAGCTCACCAGGAAATGAACTCACTGGTGTGGAGACCAGGTAAGAATGCTTCCGAGTCCGGCCGATCACCCCTACGTGGCTGGGAGTCTCACTAACCAGCTCCTGCGGTTTCCGTCCAAACCGTGAGCTGTTGTTTTCCTTTCTGAGAACATTGGTGCCATTACTCACAGTACTTTTGATCATCATAAGCTGGGTCTTATTCTGGCTGGCACACTGGGACTTCTAGCTTCTAAGGAAAAGGCCTAAAAAGTCTCACAAAGTGTCTTGGGCTTCAAGCCACTCTCAGTAATCATCATTTTGGCAATAAAGTATAAACAGACCTGACAAATGTTGACTCAATTTTATATGAAAAATCTATGTATGTGTTTGGATGATTGTCACCATCATCACCATTATTTGTGGGGGGAAAATGGTTCCTGGAGAAGAGAAGAAAGTCCATTGGCTTCTGCGATCTTCCACAGACGACCTCTCAGACTCCACCTTGACGGCGCTGAAGCCACAACGTGAAGATGGACTTTTGGCCGCAGAGACGGTCCTTGTAGAGGGTCGGGCGGACTCGCTCACGCTCAGTAAGCTCGCCTCCCTCCAGACTCGCTGCTCCTACGTATTGGAAAACTTTGAGCTCCTTTCATACCGTGTTTTGGCCTTGACCTTTCTGGCGTTTAGCCTCCCTACAATGGCGTCTATGTATCTCCACACCCCCAGCGCAGCCCCCTAATTAGAGCCATCAGTTAAGCTGTCAGGAGGAAATCTGGGCTCAATCACGCCTTTATCAGACTCAGGCTGCCAAGGGGTCAAGATGAGCGTCAAGTCTGACCTGCCTGAAGCCCCTGTCCCGTGCCGGTCCCCACACTCACTGGGGCTTTTGTGACGGGCCAGCCAGACAGCCACCTGGGTGCCCCGGCTGAGTCCCCTCCGGGGCACTGCCCAGACAGGGCGGACCCAGGGGAGACAATGGCGCCGACTCAGGGCAGGGCCTCCTCCCTGGCTTTACCATTGGGGAATTCCGTGCACGGGAGTCACCCGCGACTGTCAAAGTCCTGACTTGGAATGGAGACTCCACTGAGCAGGCAGGAGTCGGGTGTTGGGGGAAAAGTTTCTTGTTTGGACTCAAGAGGCCACGGAGTTATAGATGTCATCGCTGCCAAGGAACTGGGGACACCGTGTCACCCTTTACGCCACAGCTCAGGGCAGGTGTGGCCGGGGACTCGGGTCTGACTTTCTTTGCCGAGTCTGGTTCTCTTGGGTTTCAGGTGAGTAATATTTTTAAGTGAGCTCCATACGATGGAAGAAACAGATCTCACTCGTGGCCCATGTTCTTCTCCGGCTGTTTCGTGCAAGTGTCCTTTCTCTCTCACACGAGGTCACAGAACGTCCCCAGGGCGGTTTCTCGTCTCCAGTCCCCGCAGGACAAAGTGCCAGCGAGGACCGTGTGCTCAGGCGTCTGCGGGGAGTTCCCTTGTGGCCTTGACTCGTCTTCCGGTGTGAGTGTGTTTCTGGGGGTCTGCCTCCCTCCCTAGACGACAGCAAGCACTCCGTGTGAGTTAAGATGGAACTGTGTTTTATTCTCGGCCCCCCGCCCCACTTACAGGACACGAGCCCTGAGCTCCAGGGACGCACAGACCGCCCACCAGGGGACGATGAGACGCAGGTGCGGGTTCTTCCCAGGGCACCAAGTGCGCTGCCTGTGATCGCACATGAACAGACACGTGTCGAAGGACACAAGGAGATGAGACCTCAGGACAGGCCCTTAACTGGCAACAGGACCGCTGACGTTAGCGAGAACACCCGGAGCGCGCCGTGCCGTTCGCGGCCGCAGACCGCCGCTGCTCACGGCTCCTCGCGCGCCCGTCAGGAGACCCACACGGACAGCAGGTCCCCACCCCGGGTGCCCAGTCCTCCTCGCGCCAGCGCAGCTCTGCCACACACGCCACTCTGCGCCTGGCTGTCTTCACTCACTAGCGTCACTTCGGGGTCTTCCTCTGCATGGACGTGCAGACGCACTTCGTGCTCTTTAACAGGCACCTCTGCTCGGATGGACCAGAACTCATTCAACCAGCCCCTACGGACGCACAGCGGAGTTGTTGCCAGACTTATGCTAAGAAGCATCTATGTTTGACAGTCTCCCCCAGAGGGTTTTAAGTAACTAGCTAGACATCAGATCAGCATTTTGGAATCACCAATAACTTTAGAGCCTTATTTTAGCAGATGGCAAAACCGAGAAGCTGGGGAGCTTCAACTCTCAGGGGCAAGATGGGAAGTGGAACCTGGTGTCCCTGAGTCCCCTTCCACGCGTCATCCCCGTGTGCTTGGGCCGCTCGAGGGCGCTGGGCACGCTGGCTTTGGCTACTTGGAGAAGAAACCAAGAGCCGCCAGCAACTCAGCCCCGGGAATGTCCAAAATCCGGCCCCAGAGAGTCTTTGTTAAAAGAAGTGATTCATCAAGAGTCTCGTCGTGGTTTGATTTTTGCTAGCCCAGAGATCACTGAGTTAAACTTCCCATTCAGTAGATGGACTGAATTGCTTTGAATAAAGACGTAACTCAATAAAAACTTAATACCCTCATAAAATCAAATATTCTCTGGTTCCCCAATGAACTCCAAAACAGATTAGATTTCTTCTGCAGATGATGTGAGGTGGGTTGTTTGCCCTAAACTAACCCCATTATGCCTGTAAAATTACATTATTATTTAAATGTTCAAATTTCTTTTCTCCTGCAAATGTACAAAAGAGCCATCGTCGCGTCTTCGGGAAAGACAGAGCTGGTGGAGGATTTATCCTGTGGGGGATTTGGGGACCTTCACTCGAGAGTTCGGAACAGAAGAGCAGACTGGGGTCGTACACCTGCAGCTCAGTATGGTCTGGGCAGGGCCCCTTCTGCAAACTGGCCCCTGAGGAGTTGAGCACAGAATGAGGGAACAGGGGCTGGTGAGGATGAGGACTTCCTGGGGACGAGAATCAGAAACCCACACTGACTTTTCATACAAAGTGGTTTTTGCTCGTTTGTCATCAAGAAACAAACAGAATTTCTTTGTTAAACAGCAAAAACTGAAGTTTCTAGTTGGGTTTCGACAGTGAGGGTGACAATAACCACCGTGTGAGAAGCACTTGCCCGCAGACACCGCCGTCAGTGCGCACGCGCTCACGGTGACACGCTGGAGAGCCGTCGAAGGGACGGAGAGAGACACGAGGGAGCTTCTGGATGCCTGTTCCTTAATGACTGCCCCGCGCCGCAGGGTGTGCCCCACCGCCGCCTTAGTTTTGGGGGGAGCTGGAGCTGGCGTCTACCCTGCAGACACTGGGCACGGCTCCTTCTACACCACTTCCAGTCCTGCAGGGGCCCAGGCCCCCACTCTGCTTAGCCCTTAACAGTGAGGATTAAGAAGAGAAAAGAGCAGAGTTTCAGGGCACGAGCGGTCATCTGTCATTCCCACTGGATGATCAAGGGGAAACAAGGTCATTTCAAACAGTGTCCAGGCCAGAACACAGGCACTCCCATCAGGAGGGATCCTGGCTCCACTCCTGCGTGGCCGCACGGCCGGCGAGGGAGGTGTGGGCAGGCTGGGGCTGGCGGGCACTTGATGTTATCCCCTAGCCCTGCCCTCGTGGCCCTCGTGGCCTGCTCTCTCCTCTTGAGAGACCCCTCTCCCTGGGGTAGTCCCTTCTGTGTCTCCCCCTCTTTCGGCCGGTCTTCCTAGAGCAGTTTTTATCTAATCGTTCAGGTACTGTTTTCAGTCCTTTTTAATTCTCTTTCCAATCTGTTGCTAAGTTTCCAGCTTTCGTCACTCCTTTCCTCCAAGCAAGTTTTAAGATTATTTTCTCAGCTACGCATCTAAAAAGAAAAATTTAGAAGACCAGGAGTTCCACGGTGCTCTGCATTTGACTCTCAGGTTTAAAGAGAAAAAATAAGATTAGTGGGAAGAAAGGCCGTATCTGTTACTATGTGCAAACGCTTCCACGCTATCCGTGCTCTGTGACCTTCTCTCTCTCACATCTGTGGGCTCAGAAACAGGAATTTCTAGCTTCATAAAATGACTTCAGCCCTGCTCAGTGCCCATGGAAACGGTTATCCTTTAACTCAGTAGGATTTCTTTGTTTGCTTCTGTGGTTTTTCTTTTCAGTCGAGAGACTCTACCTCTGCTTTCCTGCTTTGGGTGAAGCGTCCAAGTAAAAAGGTTACACTTTTCTCTCTCAGCATTTGTTCATCTCTGCCCCTTAAGGTATTTTGGAAATCCATTAGGAAAACGTACTATTCTGTTAATTTACGGGCACACTCATCTAGTGTCTTCCAATCAGAGCTATCTTGGTCATTCAGGATCAAGAAAAGCATGGACACTTCCTTGGATTTTCTTGCTTCCGAAGCAGGGATCAGCAACCTTTTTATGCCATGGCCAGATAGTGAGTATTTTAGACTTTGCTGGCCAGGCAGTCTCCATCACAATGACTCTGCTCTGCCCTGTAGGGTGAAAGCTGTCACAGGAAAAACGTAGACAAATGGACATGCCTCTGTTCCAATAAAACTTTATTGACAAAGACTAGCAGTGGGCCATACTTTACTCACCCCTGTTCTAGACAGGGAGGGAAAGAAGGAAGAGGAGGAGATTGATGATCGATTACAACCAACATTGATTGCTTTCTCTGTGCAAAATACTGTGCTGAGTATTCTACAAGCGTTGTTTCATTTAATCTCCGTAATTCCATGGGGCACATACAGTTATTATGTCCATTTTATAATTGAAGAAACTAAGCTTTAAAGAGGCTAACCAGTTTTCCCCCAGTCAAACAATTAATAAATGGTGGAACCAGAAACTCAGATCTGACACCAAAGCTCATGTCTCCTATCACTGAGCTGTGCCATGATGCACACACATTCACCGTTTGAAGCTTTTCAGTCAACTTCTCTTAAAAACGATTTGTGAACACAGTGGGTGGCAAAGCTTAGTAAAGGCACAGAGTTCAACTTCAGTAGGCAGATTGGACAGAACTGTGATTTGCCTGGTCAAAGCAGAATTTGGGCTATTGAGATATTTAGCTGAATGGTCGTTATGCCACTGCCGTAAGCCTCAAGCGACAACGGTGACTGGGGAGGAAAATAATAGAGTGTAATTGTCTTGCCCCAGACACACGTGGAGTCTTTGGTGGGGGACCCCTTCCTCCCTTTCTTCCGTTACAGTCCGTCGCCTTGGTTTGAGAAAGCAGACCCACAGCTGGCATTGCTTAAGGAAGGCAACCAACATTTATTTTCAGTTGTCTACAGCCACAATGTGTTTGCCTTTCCAACCTCCTATGATTCATGTTTTCACATGGATTATTTTTGTTCCTTTTGTTATAGTGATATAAGCAGTTTCCAGGGAATTTCAAGTGATCTTACCAAAAAAAAAAAAAAAGCTTCTCCCAAGATTTAAAGCCCCAAGTCTTGGCAGCCTTTCCCAGAACATCTTAGCCTCGACGTTGACCACGAAGTAACCAGCCCCAGCAAGCATCCCACACTCTCTGGCCCAGTGTCCCCAGTTGTCTCCAGAGCACAGCCACAGGGGGTTTGTGTTCTAGCTGCGGGTCCCTTAGGCAGTGCAGAGTCACTTAAGTAAAAGTGAGAGTCTCCTGAAGCCAGGTGACTCACGGCCGTTTAGACTCCTCGCGGTTCTAGGAAAGCTGCCCTCTGCTTCATCCATAAAAACCTCTCCTCTCTCTACCCTCTCCTTACGCCAAACGAAATGCCTTTTGAGTTTCCTTCCACTCCAAATACATCTGTCTCCTTGTTATTATGCCTCATTTGCACTAAATCCAACTGGAAACCAGCCAGTGGTGGTGGGACGTGGTGTTGCTTCTCCCCAGAGGTCAAACCTCACACAGCTGTTCATCGTGAGCCATCTCCAGCTCCCAGCAGCTGCCCGGCGTTTATGTTACGTTAGTGATGTTCTCCAGTTGCAGAGGCCAGAGAGCTTGCTGTTCAGCCAAAAGAAATCCTAAGGGAAAGGGGATGAGTCCCTGCAGATGGCACGCAGGGTCGCGGGCACGTCCTCTGTGCTGCGGTTCCTGTGTGGAAGCCAGCGCACCCCAGTGCAGTCACCTGTCAGACCCATGGCTGTTGGGGAACTCCTGACCCCCCGCTCCCTCAGCACACAGACAGCCCCCCCTGAGAATACACCAGGCGCACGCTAAGGGCTTCCCTCTGGGGCTGAGATGCGTGTCTCTGGTGACCAGCCACGAGGAAGCTAGAGGAGCAAGGGGACCGCTCGCCGATGAGCAGTGGCTTGGACAAACGTGAGCTTCACTTCTCTATTACTGTGGTGCTGACACTTTTTTTTTAATAGCTGAAATTTGACATGGATCAGGGAGAGAAGAAGAGGCGAAGTGAGATTCTGCACTTACACTGCTGAGCTCTGTTTGTGGAACAACACATCCACACGTAGGAGGCTGCAGCGTGACTTACACGCTGTAAACACCCCCGACCCCGCCCACCCCCGTCAGCATCCCTGGTCGGCGTAGGGCATCGCTTTCGCCCGCTCACACACCCGCTTGGCCACTGGCAGGGTCCACCTGCTACCTTACCTGCTGGTAAGCCTCAGAGATAGACAGGAGCCCAGGGAATTCAGGCACGCAGCTCAAAGGAGGAGTGGAGGAAACATTTATACCCCCAGGACAGCCCTTCGCCATGAATAAGTGCTCTGGCCCCCAGCCTCCCTGTGGGCGATTCCTGGGGGTGGGCATCTCGGGACGTCCAGCAGAACGGAGCCCGCACGGCCGCAGCAGCAGCTGCACGGATGCAGCTTCCTCCTGTTGCCTTTCCTTCTTCTGCTAATCATCACTCTCTCCCACTGTCATTTCTGCAGCTTGGAATCACCTCCCAAACAAACTGCCTATGTAAAGGCCCCTGTGTCAGGCTTTGCTTTCAAGGAATCAGGCTTCGCAGAGCTGCCTGCCCAAAATGAGACAGGCATCGGACCAGCCGTGGAAATATCGCCGCCAGGCCCAGTTACGAGCTGGTGTTTGGGAGCGGCGTCTGGGAGGGAAGAGCTGGCCTTCCCGCAGCCCCTGTTTCCACGCACTCGTTCCCGCTGCTCGGGATCCCGCTGCTCGTTGCTCCCGAGCAGCAGAGAGGCTGCCCGTGGGAGAGACTCATCCGTTATCACACGTACGATGACCCTCTTCCTTTTGGTCCATCAAGGATATCCATCAGCCAGGAGCTGAAAAGAAGTCATAAAAATGGTAATGGAGAGAAACGGCAACGAAATAAATGGCAGACGAGGACGCACCACGCCCCCTTGCTTCCTCATGGAGAACAGCAAAAAAAAAAGAAAAAGAAAACCCCAAAACCAACCAAAAATTGGATTAAAGAAACCTTGTATGAGTTATGGAAAAACCATCAAAGGTCTACAGCAACCAAGCAAACACCCAATGAAGAAAATGCCACATTCAAACCAGCAGGAAATTTGGCGGTGTTTCTGCCTGCCCTCTCCCCACCCTCTCCCTGGGGTGGCACGGTCCTGGTCTGGAGGACACAGCCGTTCCCAGGCCCCTCCCTTTGACTGGAGGGAGCAGAGCAGATCTGTCTGAATGTTCTAACCTCCATGCTTGAAGGGCTGGTCTCTGATTTGCCTAATTCAGATCTGAGGCAGAGGAGCAGCTGGCACTGCTCAGGGAAGAGGCAGGGAAACCAGAGACCTACAGGTGTCTGGGACAAGGGGTTGCAGGTGGAGACACACAATAAACCACCAAAGGCCCCAAGGAGGAACCGAGGTGAGACTCTGCGCAGTTGAGACATTTATAAGCGACGGTGTGTATGGGGTAAGTGAAAAGCCACACACGGGCCCAGGCAAGACACATGCTCAGAAAAGGCCCGGGAAGACCCGAAGCTTTCTCCCCGGGCTGATCCAACGGCTCAGAGCATGCCTGGCTGATTACTTAAGGACGTCCCCAACACAGAGCCGGTCTGCAAAGGCTGGGGCACGTGCTTGTTTTTTCAAATGCCCGGTTTTCAGCAAAAGAAGATCACAAAGAAACAGTAAAGTACGGCCCACTCAAAGAAAAAATAAAATAAAATGGCAGAAACCATCCCTGATGAAATACAAGCATTGGCTCCAAGACAAAGACTTTAAACAACTGCCTTTTTCTAAAAACTAGGTTGACGGCCGAGGAAATGACTGGTTCTAGGAGTTGCTGATTAACTCTTACAGAGACATATAAACAAGGTGTGTGTTTCTACGAGGAATCTCTTTGATCCTTAAAGGATGGCAGGCAGAATTATTTTTGGACGGAGCTCCATAGAGAAAATTAGCTATTCGCTTATTCATTTTTTCACTCATTTACTCATTCCTGGTTGAGTTGGGCACCGAGGTTACAGTGGAGAACAGAGCAGACAGGGCTTGTGTTCTTGGGCCCCTGGGGACTCCTGTCCGTTCTAGTCTGCCTTGGCAGACAAGTTTGAAAAGCACTGTCACCTGACAGGTGAATTCCTTCTAAACCAAGCTGGCTGGCTTCCAGTTTTTCCTTAAAGAAAATAAATGGCTGGGAGAGAAAAATTCAGGGGCAGTACTCCATCCTTACTTGGAATAATTAGAGGGGAAGGAAGTTTCTGTTGGTGAAAAACCTGACTATACTGTAACTTTTGGAAAATTGTATTTTATTTCTTTCAAGATTAAAGAAACTAGATTAATTGTTAAAAGAATATGGGTAGTAGATGTGACAACTGCAATGAATATGTGTTCTGTTAAGATATTTTTATAATTTAAAAAATAAAATATGTACTGTATGGAAAGTTCTGAAAATACAAAAATAAATAAAAAATAAAGGAACAAAGGACAGGATCCCAGTACTCAGAGACAACGGGTTTCAGTACAGGTCCACATCCTTTGTCTCATTCTTGAAACCAGTCGTGTTTTGGAATTCAGAATTTCTCAAATTGTAGTAAGGAAATCCAAAGTGTATACCAAAGATCTGATTTGATTCAGTTTGATATTGAGATACTGCTGACATATAACAGTATATTGGTTTCAGGTGTACAGCATAATGATTTGATATATGCATATATTGCTAAATCATCACCACAATAACTCCAATTAATATCTATCATCACTACAGTTGTATGTTTTTCTTGTGATGAGAACTTTTAAGATCTACTCTTTTAAATATAAACTTTCAAATATACAGTACAGTATTACTAACTAGAGTCACCGTGCTATACAGGACATCCTTGTTTATCTTATAACGGGAAGTTTGCACGTTTGACCACCTTCATCCACTTCACACCCTCCATCCATTGCCCCAGCAATCATCAATCTGTTATTTGCATCTATGAGAAAACAGTTGTCTTATTCTTGAAGAGCTAAAGGAAAACATGGGCAAAGAGCTAAGAGGAAAAAAATATATGAGCAAAATGAGAATAGCAACATAGAGAGAGAAATTATGTAAAGGAAGCAAACAGAAATTCTGAACCTGAAAGATACAATGCAGGTCCCCCCCTACCTGAGAGTAGAGCATTTCTGTGAAACTTTTCATGAGCCAAAACAGCGTAAAGAAACAATTACCTTAGGATGCATCTTGCTAGTGGATGCACAAACTAAATCAGGACAAAGCACAGATTCCACAGGCATAGTTCAAAACTGTGGGGGCTTGATGGTGAGATGCTCAGCAAGGGTCGTGGGGCCAGAGCTTCGTGGTGCCGCTCCTGCTGCTGGGAATGTGCACGGTCTCTGTAATGGCTCACCGGGAAACAAACGCCGAATGCTATTTTCACTTATCGTTTTTTTTTTTTTTTTGTAAAAGCAAAAATCCTCTTCTGATTTCTTTAGTAAGAACAATTACTAATATAGGTCTTTTATAAAAGTGAAATGGCATAAAGTAAACTTTGGAAAGCATGGGGTACCTGTAACTAAACTAGAAAACTAACAAGAGGGCTTCAACAACAGATTTGAACAGGGGAAAAAAGAAGCAATGAACCCAACGACAAGACATTTGTGATTATTGAGTCTGAGGAGCAGAAAGAAAAAAGAATAAAGAAAAGTGAACAGAGCCTAAGGGAGGTGTGGAACACCATCACAGACCAGTATATGCACCAGGGAAGTCCCAGAAGTAGAAGAGGAAAAGGGCAGAGAGCTTATCTGAAGAAATAATGTCTGAAAATGTCTCAAATTTAAGGAAAGACATGAATCTACAAGTTTAAAAAACTCAATGACTTTCAAGTAGGATAAAACCAAAAAGATCCACACCGAGACACATTATAATTAACCAGCTGAAAGACAAAGACAAAAAGAAAAGCTTGAAAGCATCAAGAGAAAAGTCACTTATCGTGTACAAAGGATACTCAGTGAGATTATCAGTCTCTTATCAGGTATCTTGGAGGCCAGAAGGCAATGGGATGGTATAGTTAAAGTGCTAAAAGGAAAAAAAATTGTCAAATGAGAACTCTATACTCAGCAACACTGTACTTCAAAAATGAGGGAGAAATTAAGACATTCCCAGTTAAGCAAAAACTCAAGGAATACATTACCACTGGTTGTGCCCTGCAAGAAGTGCTAGAGTCCTTCAGGTTGAAATGCAAGGATGCTATAAAGCAACTCATAACCCTGTGAAGACACAGATCTCTGCTAAAGATAAATACACGGACAAATACAAAAGCAAGCACCATTCTAATTTTGTTTTATAATTTTGCTTTTTTATTTTCAACAGGATTTAAAAGACAAATGCTTAAAAACAATTATAAACCTATGTCGATTGGTATGCAATAGATAAAGATTAATTTGTGGCATGAATAGCACAAAGTTGGGAGGAATGGAGTTGTAAAGGAATAGATTTTGAAGTTGAGTATTGATTCAAAACAGACTGCAACTTTAGGATGGTTAAATAGATCCCCATGATAACCACAGAGAAAACACGTATAGAATATACACGAAAGAAAATGGGAAGAAATCAAAATGTGTTACTACAAAAAAAAAAATCAACTGAACACAAAGGAAGCCAGTAATAGAGGATATGAGGGTCAAAAAGGCTCTAAGACATACAGAAAACAAATAACAAAATGGCATAAGTCTTTCTCTGTTAATAATTACTTTGAATGTAAATAGCTTAAATTCCAATCAAAAGACATAAATTGGCAGAATGGATAAAAAAAGTATGATCTGCTTTTATACTGCCTACAGGAAACTTACTTTAGATCTAGGGACACACAGAGGTTGATAATGAAAGGATGGAAAAAGATATTCTCTGTAAATAGTAACAAAAAGAGAGCTGAGGTGGCTATACACACACCAGACAAAATAAACTTTAAGTTAAAAACTATTACAAGGGATGAAGAAGGACATTATATATTGATAAAAGGATCAATTCACCAAGAAGGTATAAGAATAAACATACAGGCACCAGGCATCAGAGTTCCAAATATATGAGGCAAACACTGATAGAACTGAAGGGAGAAAGGGACAGCTCTGTAATAATCGTAGGAGACAGCATTACCCTACTTCCAGTCATTGGTAAAACAACCAGATAGAAGATCAATAAGGAAACGGAAGACTTGGACAAACCTAGAAACCAGCTGGACCCAACAGACATATACAGAACACTCCACCCAGCAACAGCACAATGCACTTTTCTCTCCACTGCACACAGAACATTGTCCAGCATAGACCACATGTTAGGCCACAAAACAAGTCTTAAGAGATTTTAAAAGACTGAAATCATACAAAGTATCTTTTCCAACCACAATGGAATGAAACTGGAACTCAATTGCAGAAGGAAAACTGGCAAATCCACAAATATGTAGAAATTAAACAACACACTCTTCAAAACCCAATGAGTCAAAGAAAAAAATCACAAGGGAAGCTGGAAAGTAACTTGAGACAAATGAAAATGAAAACACAACATACCAGAACCTACGGGATGCAGCGAAAGCAGTGCTAAGAGGGAAATTTATAGCTGTAAATGCCATAGAGAGATCTCTAGGGAACAGCCTAACTTTATCCCCCAGGTAGCTAAAGAGAAATGACAGTGGCTGACAGTTTACGTTCCAAGGCTTCAAAGAGATGATGCTTCCATGGATGGTATGACCCATCCTGACTTTAACC